TAGCTCTTTTGAGTCTATTTTCTTTCTGTTGAGGTGTAAGTTCTTGAAGTTTTTGGAATTTCAATGGCTTTACCCCGAGCTAATTTTTCAATATTTGCATGGAGTATTGCGATTTGTTCAGCTCACGAGCCATTTTTCGACTACTGCTATGCGGGTTTCGATCAAGTCGCTTCTTTACTTTTCGAACAATTTCTGCTGATGTTTCTGTTTTCTTCCGTCCACTTCCTTGTTGACGGCCTCGCTATCAGTATCACGTTAACGAGCGACGGTATGAGACTTAAAAGATTTATTCTCATTTAAATGCTGGAGTTCTCTAACGATAGTCACTTGTGGTTTTCCAGCCAAATATAAAGAAATCACACTATCACGCTTCAAATCCATCACGAATAACTTTTTTCTGGAAAATTCCCACCAAAGTGGTTTTGTACGTTTTTAAGCAATATAATGAGCTGACACTGGAATAATTTGGACAGGTGTCGGACGAGTGACTTTGAAATGACAACAGTCTGAAGTTGGTTTCATTTTTTCATCTCACCCTGCAGTGGCTCTCTCTTGGACATTTCCTATAAGACATGGAGATCGTGTTTTTTAATTTTGAAGTTATCGCAGATACCAGCGACTTGGGCAGACTACTTTAAACCTGGCTACCGCCATAATTTGGGTCCTTGTTTTTGGTTCTTATTGGGTAATTGTTCAATACAGATCGAGTCATACCTTATAATACCACCACTTCTATGTGCAATTTCAATTTTTTTATAGGGCAAAATTTCATTGAGCAATTTTTTCCCAAAACGGGGGCTTCAACTCCTATTTCTGCTGGTATTTAGCTTAAATCGTCTTCTGAGAAAAAATATTTGTTTTTTCTCTAATTGTTTTTCCTTAATTTGCTTAATTGCCAAAGTATGCCAAACTTAAGCGCACAAAAAATGTTTTGAGCCATTTTGCGACAATCCACATGTGGAGTCATTACACAGATAAGAACCGGTCTAGTCTTTTGCTCTGTAATGGTTTTCGTTCAGGTCAAAGTGGTAAAAGTCAAACACAAAAAAATTTCACTTTCGAAAAGTACAAACAAATAAAAAAAGAAACAACAACGAAAAAATTATGGACGGAATGAACAATTCAATTTTGAAACTTAGAAAAAAAATGTTACCACGAGTCGGCCAGAACCCGATGTGCTGCAAACTTGCTCTGTCATTGTGGTTGGGAAATGGGTCTTAGACTTTAATGTATGTGAGACAATGAAACCCTTTAGTTGAAGTATGACAGGAAATATGGTTGTGTCTCATCGAAATAACAGTTTTAGATCCTAGGTCTCTTTGGACCAAATCCGTTTCAGGACATTTGGAGTCGATCTGGAAATGTTCGTCCGTCTGTCTGGCTGGCTGGCTGGCTGGTGAACACGATAACTCTCAAAGGAAGAATCCGATTCGGCCCAAACATGGTACATCGTAACTTTTTTTTTCAAACATAGATCGTGTTCGGAGATGGGCGAAATTGGTCCACTCCTTCTGGTACCTTCCCCCACAAAAGGTCAAAAATATTTTACTACACAGAAAGAGAACGGATAATCCGATCATGCTCCAACTTTGCAAATCCCAATATTTGAATCGGTGCTAGGTTAGGTGCGAAAATGGACAATATTGGTCAACTCCATCAAGTATCTCCCTCACAAAGGGTCAAAAATTTGAATAATTATAACACTTATTAAATGTTATGTAAGAGTCCGATTGCCTTCATTACAATATTTGTATTAACTCACGGTCTCAAGGTAGCGTAGCCCGAAGTCAACGAAGTGGACGGAAGAAAACAGCAACATCAGCAGAAATGGTTCGAAAAGTAAAGAAGCCACTTGATCGAAACCCGCGTCGCATTGGGCGAAAAATGGTTCGCAAGCTGAACATATCGCAATATCAGCTGAAAATGTGCACCTTCGGTTGGCCACCAAAACTCAAGTGCCGGCCATGGTGATGGTGGCGTGGGCCGACATAGCAGTTGATGGTCGCTCTCTGCTCGTACTAATCGACGGTGGCATCAGAATAAATGCCGAATATTATCGCGAAAATATTCTGGACATTTTGGCCGTAAACCTTGGACATTCCAACAGGACTCAGCACGCGCCACCCAAGAATGGTTACAAAATGGGGTTCCTCACTTCATTTCCAGCACACAATGGCCACCAAATGCTCCGGATACCAATCCGAAGGACTGTTTTGTCTGGAGTTTTTTGGAAAGCAAGGTTGACACTAAAAAATACCAAAGTGTCGATCACCTCAAGCAAGCGCTTCGCCGGGAATGGGCCAAAATACCGCAGAGCAACATTCTGACAGCGTGTGACGGTTTCATTGGCCGTTTGAAGGCCATAATTCGTGCCAAAGGTGACCAATTCTAACAAATCTAAACTTATTCTAAAATTTGATGCTATTTCCGACATTTTGGCTTTCATTCGATAAAATTAAAAAAAAACATAAAACAAGCAAAAAAGCCGTTAGTTCGGCCGGGCCCTTCTTTGGCAATTTTCAAAAAAATAAACACATTTAAATTGTTTTTTTTTTTTTTTAAATCTTAAAAATACCGAATGTAGCCGTTATATAAGGGTCTACACGACGACGGGGACCTGCATAGGCAATCTTTTTCATAAGCCATTAAAATATTCAAATGCGAAATTTGAAAAAAAAAATCGGTGAATAATGTAGTAAAATGGGGGGAACCCGTATGTGGGGGCTATACGAAGACGTGTACCTGCAAAGACAATTTTCTGTCATAGGCTGTAGTATCCATTTCGAACATCAAATACCAAATTTGAAACATTTCCGATGAATACTGTCGCTAAAATCATCAAAATACCGAATATCGAGAGGTACCATTATATGGAAGCTGTACGAAGTAGTGGACCTGCACAGGTGATCTCCTGTCTTAGGCTGTAGTATCCATTTCGAAAATCAAATACCAAATTTGAAACAATACCGGTGAATAGTGTCGCTAAAATCAACAAAGTACCGAATGTGGGGAGCTACCGTTATATAGAGGCTATACGAAGATGTGGACCTGCACTGACAGTTTTCTGTCTTAGGCTGTAGTATCCATTTTGAAAATGAAATGCCAAATTTGAAACAATTCGGTGAATAGTGTTGCTAAAATCATCAAAAAAAAAACGAAAATCGGGAGGTACCGTTCTATGGGAGCTATACGAAGACGTGAACCTGCACTGACACTTTTCTGTTTTAGGCTGTAGTGTCCATTTCGAACATCAACTACCAAATTTGAAACAATTCCAATGAATATTGACGCTAAAATCTCCAAAATACCGAATATCATGAGTTATAGCGTTATATGGGGGCTATACCAAAACGTGGAGCTGCACTGACACTTTTCTGTCTTAGGCTGTAGTATCTATTTCGAACATCAAATACCAAATTCGAAACAATTCCGGTGAATAGTGTCGCTAAAATCAACAAAATACCGAAAATCGGGAGGTATCGTTCTATGGAAGCTACACGAAGACGTGGACCTGCACAGACAATTTTCTGTCATAGGCTGTAGTATCCATTTCGAACATTAAATACCAAATTTGAAACAATTCCGGTGAATAGTGTCGCAAAAATCAACAAAATATCGAATATCGGGAGGTACCGTTCTATGGGAGCTATACGAAGACCTGGACCTGCACAGGCGATCTCCTGTCTTAGGCTGTAGTATCCAATTCGAACATCAAATACCAAATTTGAAACAATTCCAATGAATATTGACGCTAAAATCACCAAAATATCAAGAGTTATAGCATTATATGGGGGCTATACCAAAACGTGGACCTACATGGCCCATTTTCAATACCAAAAGTTTTGCAGACATAATATAGATTTTAGTAAAATTTTATCAATCTACTTCAATTCGTTCGGAAGCTAGAGTAATTTCCACAGACGGACGGACATAGCTAAATCGACATAGAATTTTAAGCCGATGAGGAATATACATACTTTGTGGGGTCTAAAATATATATTTCGAAGTGTTACAATTCCAGCGCACAATGGCCATCAAAATCTCCGGATGCCAATCCGTTGGACTATTGTGTCTGGGGTATTTTGGAAAGCAAGGTTGGCACTAAAAAATACCAAAGTGTCAATCAGCCAAGCAAGCGCTTCGCCGGGAATGAACCAAAATACCGCAGAGCCACATTCGGGCAGAGGTTATAAAAAATCTAAAAATTATGGCATTTGAATTTGTTGCAGTTTCTTTTTATCTCACCCTAGACATTTGCGAAATGTCGGCTGAGAGAATATTTTTTGAAATATTTTTTTTTTTTTTTGAAATATTTTCAACCGGAATGCTAATATTCTTGTGAACATGATTCACTCTTAATTGAGATTCTAAACGAGATTCTTAAATAAAAAAATAAATATATATATAAAAAAATGAAAAATATTTGCTCAACGTTTGGCATTTTTGCGTTAGGCGAGACAAAAACAATGAAAACACATCTAAAGATTTCCTCGAAATTTAATACAAACAAGGAAATTACAAAGACATATATTAAATATTATGAGCACACATACACACACACGTATGACAAGGTATTTCATTACACCAATACACAAAAAAAAACAAATTGCATTTGAAATGAAATGAATAAACCTGGCAACACAGAAACACATCAGCAGCCAACAACAACTGCATTGAAATGGAAATGAAAATTTGTTTAGGTGTTGTTGCAAATGTGAATTTAATTTTTTTCTCGTGTTTCAAGAGTGCAAAAAAAAAAACAACTCCGACAACAAATATATTTTTTTAAAAAAAATTACTAATCACTCGGTTATTAACAATGAAAAATAATTAAAAAAATAAATGATAAATAAATCGTGAATTGAATTTGTAATTTTTTTATGAGTTATTACAAAAGACCCCCACACAAACATTCATATTTATGTATGTGTGTGTAAAAGCGTTCCAGCCTACAGCTATTTTGTGTTTTGTTAATGCATGTTTTGTTTTTGTTATTATAGGTTGTTAAAAAAAAAATAATAATAAAAAAACACAATTCTAAACGAAGCAGGAGTCTTTAGAAGTCCGTCGAACAAAAAAAGTGAATTTTTCCCCGAACATCATAACACAGTAATTAAACGTCAAACAAACCATTCACTGGACACGATCAGATAAATCAAGAAAACTTCTTAACTTTAAGTTCAGTGCATTTTGAAAAAAGCAAAAAAAAAAAAACAGAAACAGAAACAAAAGAAAATAAACCCAAAAACCCGAAAATAAACCACCCCATTAAGGCAGAAAAACAAAAGACTTAAGCAACAAACCTGCAGCACAATGCAGAACAGAGTCGACAACAACAACAACAGCAACACAGCGCAGCGATGGCTATTGTTGCAGCTGCTTGTGGCCAGCACAATGCTGGTGAATACGGTAAGTTATGATTGTTACGATCATTATTGTTGTTGTTATTATTATTGTTGTTGTTATGTGTTTTGTTTATATTTTCATTTCTTTATTTTTCTGTTTTTAATTTTCTCATTGCCCTTATTATTGTTGTTGCTACTGTTTTCCTACGTTGTTTTGGGTTTTTTCCCAACTCAACTCCACTCCATTATCAGAAATTATATTTTCACATGCTTTCTCCCCCTCTAATTGTTGCAACAACAACAACAACATCAAACAAAAAAACAATCAAATGCAATGATGGAAAGTAATATTCGATGGAATGAATGGTCGGTCCGTTGCAACGCCAGGGAAGTCCAATTGTTTCCTCAATTATCACACACACACGGCCTAAATTGTCTTAGAAATTGGGAAGAAAACAAAGTAGAAGCAAAGAAACCTACAAAGCTAAGGTATTAACATCAATAATCGTTTTATTTTGTTTTGTTGTGGTGGTGTATTAGGTGGGGGGGACACCATGTTGGCCGAATTTTTATAGAGGTGTGACCTATAAAATATATGAAGAGTAAATTTCAAGACATAATTTTTATACCATCCATAGCGAGGAAAACGTCCAAATCGGTTTAGCGAAGGTATGGACTCTAAAGTGCATTAAATCTGGGGTTTTTGCTATATAAAAGATATGTCGAAAACTAATATATAAAATTGTAAAAAATCAGTAACTGTTTGTCTCATCCATGGCCAGAAATAAGGCATCTTGAAATTTTGCGTCATAGGCCAGGATTTTTAGAGAGTCATGCTAAAATTACAACAATCTGCACTTATGGTGCAAAAATGCTGTACTTTTTCGGTTAGTATCTTAAAATGTGTCATTTATGTCACTATAGATGAAGTCTCAAATATAAGGGGTGTTTTTTTTGGAAATTCATACTAAAAATATACCAAAATGTACTAAACCCGATTTTTTTGAGGCTTTTAAATCAAGAATCTTCAAATTCCGCATGAAGTACACTATAAATATGAAACATCAAATATGGTTGTCGTACTAAAAACGGTACTAAGAAGTACTAAAGATTGTGTTTTTGACGCAAAATTGAATTTGAAAATTTGTATACCCTTACCCATATGGCTAACGAGGGTATATATCATTTGGTAAGGCCACAATGTGCCTCACCGTAATAACGGCTTAAGACCCTAGGGTTCTTGAGACGAAAGCCCTTTCAGATCATTTGGAGTGGATCTAGCGGCGGCCGTCACTCCATCTGTCTATATATCTGGCTGGCTGGTGCACACGATAACACTTGAAGGGAGTATCTGATTTCGTCTAAACATGGTACATCAAAATATTATAAACAAAATAAATATTAAATCGAGTTCAGAGGTGGGCAATATCGGTCCACTCCTTCTGGCACACCCCCACAAAAGTTCGAAATTTAAAAAAAAAAATTATTGCACAGAAAGAGAAAGAATAATCCGAATTTGCTTCAACTTTGCAAATCCTAATATTTCCATCAGTGCTAAGTCAGATGCAAAAATGAAAAATATCGGTCCACCCCAAAAGTACCTTCCCCACAAAGTCTAGTAAAAAAAATTAAATACAGAATAAGATAAGAAAAAATGCAACAAAGTCAACCTCTGTCATTTATTTTTTTTTTATTTTATTTATTTATTTTTTTTTTTTGATGGAAGCACAGAATTTCGGAAATAGCATAAAATTTCAAAATAAGTTTAGATTTGTTCGAATTATGGCCTTCAAATGGACAATGAAACCGTCACACGTTGCCCAAATGTTACTCTGCGGTATTTTGGCCCATTACCTGCGAAGCGTTGGCTTGAGGTATTTGGTATTTTGGTCTTTTTTGGTATTTTTAGTGCCAACCTTGCTTTCCAAAATACTCCAGACACAATAGTCCAACTGATTGGTATTCGGAGATTTTGGTGGCCATTGTGCACTGGAAATGAAGCGAGGAACCCCATTTTGTAATTATTTTTGGGTGGCGAGTGCTGAGTCCTGTTGGAATGTCCAAGGTCTGCGACCGAAATTGTTGCGTGCCCAAGGCTTTAATACAACCTCCAGAATATTTTCGAGATAATATTCGGCATTTATTCTGATGCTACGGTCGATTAATACGAGCGAAGAGCGACCATCGGCTGATATGGCGGCCCACACCATCACCATAGCCGGGGCTTGAGTTCTGGTGGCCAACCGAAGGTGCACATTTTCAGCTTACCTCTTTGGCAAGTAAACACAATCATTTTGTTTGTTCACAAACTGCTGGACAACGAATGCTTTCTCTTCGGAGAAAACCAAATCCGGCAGTTCATCACTTTCCGCCAAGCGAAGAAACTCTTTAGCCCTTTTGAGTCTATCTTGTTTCTATTGCGGTGTAAGTTCTTGCTCATTTTTCAATATTTGCCGAATTGAATATTGCGATATGTTCCGCTCACGAGCCATTTTTCGGCCACTGCGACGTGGGTTTCGATCAAATTGCTTCATTACTTTTCGAACCATTTCTGCTGATGTTGCTGTTTTCTACAGCCCACTTCCTTGACGTCGGGCTACGCTACCAGTATCACGGTAACGAGCGATGGTACGAGGCACAAAAGATTTATTCACATTTAAATGCTGGAGTGCTCTAAGGATAGCCACTAGTGGTTTTCCAGCCAAATATAAAGAAATCACACTATAACGCTTTAATTCCATCACGAATAAAATTCTCGCCAAAATGCTTTTGTACGCTTGTAAACAATATAATGAGCTGTCATTGGAATAATTTTAACAGCTGTCGGACTAGTGGCTTAGAAATGACAGCAGTCTGAAATTGGTTGCAGTTTTTTCATCTCACCCTGTATATGGCATGATATCGATATTATTTGATGAGGTCCAGGTTTTTTTAAAAATGAAAAAATACAATTTCTCTCCTCAACAAATACAATTTGTCTGTCAAGCCTAGTCAGATTTACAAAGATTTTTACAAGGGCCTTAATATATCATGAGATTTGTCCTCGCCAAGATTGTAAATTTTTCAAAATATTTCCGGGGTTAGAATCGGACTCTTTAAAAGTTTTTACATCGACTTTCTGAATATATAAGTCCTCCAAATTAGTCAGAAAATCCATAAAAAATTGTCAAAAAGTCCACGAAGGAAAGTCCAGAAAAATATGCCTAACACATCTTGACAAATATTTGCAGAAAATTTACAACTTTACAACAACAAGAAAATTTCTTTCTAATGTTCCTACAATATTTATATAAGGTCTCTCAACAAACCGACTTATAATTTCTAAACTGCTAAATATAAATCGATTGCCTCTCGTTTTGGCTGATATTAAGCATAACAACCCGCTTTCTTTCACTGCGCCAGCATATTTTCATATTTCTATTCTAAATCTCAAACTAGGTTCTGGGAACAACCAACCAACCAACCGAACAAAGGAAGGCATTTATTGTCACATCATCATCACTTTCCCCCTCACAATTACGATCAATAGCCTTAATGATTGAACCCCCCCTCCCGTTCCATTGTTCGTGCCACTGACCAATTTCTTTTTCTAGTTTTCCCTTTGTCTGTTAAAAACAACAAAAATGTATTTTAACTAAATTTTGTACTTTTAAACCAAAAAGTAATTAAGAGCAACAACAACAATCGGCCACGAAAAATATGGGAGGGGGCAATGAAGTTTAACTGGCCTTCCAATGCTTCTGGAGAGACATTAGAGGCACATCATCTACAAATGCTGTTGGTTTTTATTCTCATTTTCTTCACAACCAACGACAAACATTGAGGCGGCCAAGTCGGCCAGGCAGTCAGTCAGTCAGCTCGTCAGCCAGACAGCCAGCCAGCCAGCCAGCCAGCCTCCATTGTTTGTTTGCCAGATGAAGAGTTCTGAAAGCCAAGTGAACAACAAACTGTTTATTTTCCTTTTTTTACAATGGCTAAATGCCGGCAACTATGAGCAGCTTGAATAAGAGCTTTTAGTTTATTATTACAAGCTGGTGTCATTGTTGAGCTGTTGTTTCCGAATGCTCTGCTGTTGCCAGCCACCGCTACTGCCATTGTTGCCGTGTACTCATTTTTACGATAATCACAGCATTAATGTCACTTTCTCAAAACCGACACAACGGCCGGCTAGTCATGTCAAGTCAGTCAGTCTGTCAGCCAGCCAATCCAAGCCGAGCCAATGAAATAAAGTCACGGCCATGGCAAATCTGTGCGATGATATCTAACATCAGCAACTTCTTTCGTGGCCAAACAATTGCCGGTGTTGTTCTAGAAAACTCGCAGAGAACCCGGCCGAGAGGAAATTAGAAATTAATGTTGTTGTTGGTCGACGAGAAAAAAAAAAGAAATCTATAAATGGCTATCATCAGCCAGAGAATCTTTGTCCATTAGAAACAAAAATGATATTATTAAAAATAATAACTACCAAAAATGTGTCCTACATATCGGGTCATGTGATGAACATGGAGAGAAATGGATTTTCGGAATTATTAGAATGATTCGAAACTATTTTCGTTTTATTGTTAAGTGAGGAAGGAGATGAAGACATTAATTTAAAGATTTCAATTAACGATGTTAACGATGTCGTAGAGGAGTTTTTATAAAACCTTCATCAGTTAATCTGTAAAAAATCGGAATTCGCGAGATTTGTCTCGTTTTTGACGGAAAAATACCTCACTGTATTCTTTGCCGGAAAATCGTAGCACATGTTATTTTTATAAAATATTCCGAAAGAAGACCTCTGAGTTTCACGTTCTAGCGAGAGTACGCCTACTCAAAGGAGTCGAGTATACCATTGTTATACCCTCATTCATACTGCTATAGAGGGTATACAGGGTGAGATAAAAAACTGCAACAAAGTCTAATGCCATAATTTTTATTTTTTTTTAAATTAGTTGAATGAAAGCAAAAATTGTCGGAAATAGCATTAAATTTTAGAATAAGGTTAGATTTGTTCGAATTGGTCACCTTTGGCACGAATTACGGCCTTTAAACGGCCAATGAAACCGTCACACGCTGCCCGAA